TATATATAATAATACTGTCTTCCCTTGCCAGATGGCAGGCTGTCTGGGGGCACAGGTTTCCATGTAAATGTTCACAGGTGCATCCAAAGTGCCTGGAAGACTTCCTGGCACACAGGTGACACTTAACAGCTTTGCTGGATAATTAAACAGATGGATTCATGACCCATCAAACCCTAGATCAACCACTAGGTTGGAGTTCAGGTTATTTGATGGTAAAAGTTGGTTTCTCCTCCTTGAAGCATAGAGGGCTTAGTCTTCAGAGATGAAATTGTCTATGATTCACTTCCCGTTGGACACTTCATTCAAGATAGGCCAAAGGAACTCCTTCCAATGCAGGAAAAAAAGACAAAAGATTTTCTTGTAAAAAAGAGATTGAATGCTTATAACCTATTATACTTCTTTTCCAGAATTAGCTTTATCCTCTACTCAAGTCTGGTGGGTCCCTTCAGCGTTCTGTCTGAATCCTCTTTCAACTGCCCCACACCTGAGGGTGGCTAGAGCTGATGACCAGAGACAGTTCCAAATGACTGGAACCTTAGGGCCCTGAAATAGACAGTTAGGTGCAAAAAACTTAGGTTATTGTTGTTGTTGTTGTTGTTGTTTTGCATTAAAGGGTCAATTGCGGAAAACAAATCTTAGCAGATGCTTTTTTCGGCTTGTTAAAGAAATGCATTATCTGCAACTGCATGTAAACATTCCTTTATTATTTTCCCTTCCTTGTCTGGTTCATTTTTTCTTCTTTTTTTCACTAGTATTTCATTGATTATACAACTAGCATGCACCACAGTATATGCCTAAAGCTGCAGCTTTGATCAAATTTCAGTTGAGGCAAGACACTCTTGAAACTGGTTTTCTTGATTCACTCTTTGAGCAGCTTAGTTGGAAACTACAGATTGTCTCACAGTACCTCCTTAAAGCTGTACAGGTATCCCCTGCTTTTCAAAAGTTTGCATTATGCTACTTCACTTTTACGAAAGACCGCTATCAGCCCCTCTTTTTGCTAACTGTAAGAAATCTGAAGGGGCTTTTTGCTTTTACAATAAAAAGCGAGAAGCAAAAATAGTTTGCAACTTTTGTTTTGCAGTGAGCCATCCTAGAGACGGCAGCACCCGAAGCAGCAACAGGGGCACAGCCAAGCCCCCTTCCCCAAGAACTACACTTAACATCTCTGCATCAAGCCTCAGGGCTTTGAAGTCTATCTGTGAGCATCTGTGCTTTATTTTGATTTATTTTGTGCATTCATTAGTGAGATGTGTCTTAAGGTATCAGAAAAGCCTAAGAGAGGTCATTTTTGAGGTCTGGGAACACTTACAATTTTTTTTCCATATAAATTAATGGTAATTGCTTCTTAGCTTACACCATTTATAGCTTATGAAAGTTTTCATAGGAACGCTCTACTTTGGGATAGCGGGGGATACCTGTATTTTGATCTAACAGCACACTTTGCATTTCCTATAAATTATTACTTTCTAACTCTAGATTATAAGTATTTTTTTATGTATCTATCTTTGCTATTAAACTTCCTGAAAATATTTTATGCCCCACAAGTGCTAATACAGTATTTAATAATAATCTGTTGAATGAAATGGAACATATAGAATTGGCTTACCGCCAAGAACTTCAGTAGCTCCTCTTTTCATGGCATGCAAGGCTTTTCTTGATCAGGCCCCCGTCTCTGCCCACTGTCATATCAGCTGTCATTCTCTCCTACCTTCCAGATCCCATAAGCTCTAGCCCCTCTGGACCATGCTGCTGCTCACTCCTTGCCTTTGTACATTTGCCTCCCTCAAAACACATTACCCTTTGACTGCCTGGTGAACTCCTGGCCATCTTCAAGCCATAGTTCATACTTATTTATTTCTTTATTGTTTGTCTTCCCTCGGTGGCCTTTTAAATGTGATGAAAGTGGGGGCCTGGTCTGTCTTGCTCACTGCTGTCTCACCCATGTCTGAAAACAGGGACTCGATCAGTCTTAAATACAGTGAGTTTTGACTATTTCCAAAAGGCAACAAGGAATCACCCAAAGATACTAACCATTAAAAAATTATAAATAGATCTTTGTTTTAGAAAGGCACTATGGTTGCTGTAGAGAGTGGGAGGGAACGGATTGGAGAAGGCAAGACTGACCCTAAGAAATCTGATCATTGGAGTAAGCAAAAATGATGAAGGCCTGATTTGAGGTAGCAACAGTGGGCTGGGAGGAGGTGAGGGATATGAGACATGAGAGAACAGCAGGAATGGATGATCTATGGGATGCTATGACAGGGGGTGAGAGGTAGTAAAGGATGGCTCCCAGTTTCTGGCGTCAGAGATTCTGCAGCTGGTGGTGATGTCTGGAATGATCACACAGTGTTACAGTTGTATGTTTACTTGTGGGTGTCTCCCAACTAGTCTGAAAGGGACCTTGCTAAAAGTCTTTGAATTAGCAGTGTAACAAGAGCACCTATTGGGCACCTGGGTGGCTCAGTTGGTTAAACAGCTGCCTTCACCTCAGGTCATGATCCCAGGGTCCTGGGATCCAGTCAAGAGTGGGATTCCCTGCTCAGTGGGGAGTCTGCTTCCCCCTCTCCCCTGCTCATGCTCGCTCATGGCTCTCTCGCACGCGCGCTCTCTCAAATAAATAATCTTTTTTTAAAAAAGCACCTATTATGTGGGAGGCATATAATAAATGAATGAATGAACGAACACATTAAAAATACTAAACAGTACTTCTATGGCCCAATGAGAGGAATGGCTAATAGAAATTCTACATTTACTATTCTCTGCCTGCTCTAACAAGAAGACAAGCAAAACAAGAGGAAACTTGGCTCGGAAAACGAGATAACTGGCTTCCCAGCCGCTTTCTGCCTTTTGTACAACCAGGAAGCTGACAATAAAGTTTATTTGAGCGTCGACGTGCCCCGACGTGGCCCCGCCTCCCCAGCCGGAGCCGCGATTGGTGGGCATTCGCCGGCTCCGCCGTTCCTAAGCCCCGATTGGCGAGGGCCGCCGTCATTTCGGAGCGTCCCGGCGCCTGCCCGCCTTTTCGCCGCGTCGCCGGTGCCTGTGCCGCCCGCTCCTCCTCGCCTGTCCTCTCCCGGCCGAAGCCCGGGGGACCAGAGCGAGACGCGGGGACCATGTTCCGACGCAAGCTGACGGCCCTCGACTACCACAACCCGGCTGGCTTCAACTGCAAAG